CCTGTCCGAGTTCGGAAGCTAAGATCAATAAATCTGCCGTCCCAATGATCGGGCCTTCGTCTGCTTTCAAATAACGAACTGTATGCTCCGACAGTTTTACTTCACAATCTTAGTTCTACCTACTAGTCAAATTTTCAAACACCAACTAATTTTATAATAGTGAAAATGCGACTCCCAGGGGACATATAAAAAGAAGAGGAGGCGTTCACCGGGATGGGTCTGTTAGAGGCCTGTTGTTTCGAGTAGTTATTTCACCTACCCAGCTTTAGAGACTGGGAAGTCATGCTCACATTTCTCCTTATATGGCGCATCTTGTTTGATACGCGGTCCGCCAATGCCGCCTGGGTGGCTGTATCCGATCCGCATGTCACCGTGACCTGAATCGCCCCCGCCCTCGTCGGCCACGGAGATAGTTGACGGCCCCGACTGTCCCACGCCGTAACTGTCCCCCGTTAAGAAGGTTCGCAAAACCAGGTAGGAGGAGGCAAATTGAAATGACGGTTGGCAGAGCAGTCAGTGTGCATCCCGGCTTCTTGCGTCTGCCTTGCCACTTGCTCATCGCCTCGGCCCACAATCTCAACGGCGTCAATGTTGAGGTTGTATCCCGTTTGCGCGGCATGGGTTGCTACCTCCGATTTCGGGTCCAACCTTCACACGGCCAATTTATGCTCGTGCATTCGCGTTTGCAGCCGTCGGCGTTTTCTTAACGTAGTTGCACGTCCCACAGCTGTACTGACCCGATTCCTAAGCAGGACATGCCGGCCGTTGTCTGCCGACTTCAGTAAGGCCACTACAGCCCTATTCCGAACGCCTGTCTCAACCCTGGGCCTCTCGCGAGTGTCTGAAAGTGCGCACTAGGGGTCGTCTGACATTCGTCCACTTGGCTCTCCTGTCGGCCAATCAGATTCAAGGCCGAGTCAGACATGACCTGGCTTAGGTTGCTTTGATGCATTTTCTGACGGAGACTTGGGACACCGCTCACCTGGCGCCGGACGTGCTCTCATCCGGGTGCTAACTCCTCCTTTTGTTTTCTGTACAGGATATATTATCCTCCCCACTAGCGTCCACCTTCTCTTACGATTCGGGACCGGACCTGAAGGTCAAGGTTTTAAATTTAAAAAACCTGTACTCAAAAGGACATTAAAAACAAACTATGAAAAGAAAAAAGGCCATATAATTTATGGATTTACTTTTCTTCGTAGGTATTTTGGGGTCAAGAATATTCTGTTCACCATGGACGATGGCGAAGGTTGATGTCAGCCCGATGTAGAATTAACAGTGAGTGTCCACGCTTAGCCTTTGGTTGTTGTCAGAGCACTAGTAACTTAAATTCGACTGACAATTTGTGTGATACAACTGGCTAATTAGAGCTAGTCGGACCGAGAGATGTAAAAGATGGGTATGGATTATAAGCAAAATCTTTCAAAAGTATCAAAAACTACAGTATACCAACCAGCGCATTGTTTCTAATAATATGCTACTGTAAGTGGATTAATGCATAATGTCGGGGTGTTTCGAGGGGTTAAACTTCGGTTCACCGTCGACATCAAAATCACCATATTCTTCATCAATACTGCCAATTAGTCCACTTTTTCCGGGAACCAGCATCACAGATGTTCCGAAGATCTCGCAGAAGACGCCTTCTTCAAAATCCATAAACGCTCGCTTGATAGTTTCCAAAATGGACATTGCGCTTTTCGTCACTCTCAAGCAAGCAGCGGATGCTTTTGGAGAGTTCTCTGTCAGCACACCGAAGTCCTTTTGGACCTCCACGTGCGTAAAACTGCACCGTCGAGAAAGTAAGTTCTCGTGCTGGCGGATCTAGCTGGGTTGCCTAAACGAATCGTGACACACCTACTGACGTTGTGCCAACGATTTGACCACTCCCCCAACCGATCGATGTTCGTCTGAAGTCCCAATTCGCGAGGAGGCCTCGAATTACACCCTGTACTTTATTGTCGTCACCAAACATTGATGCTTTGCCGTCCAAATCACTTACAGAATCGTCCACGTAAGTTAGGAACAAAATAAGTCCTGGTATTGAGCCCTGGGGAACACCATTCTCGACACAGCAAGATTTACTTTCTCTTGACCAGTGCATGCGACCTGGTGCCGACCCACAAGAAATTTTTCGATCCATTTGAGGAAGTTACGTCTGACCCCTATTTCTTCTAGTTTGTGTAGCAGCCACAAATGTGGCACAATATCGAACACATTATGGAAGTCAACGAAGACTATGCGGGCAACGGTAGGTTGTGGGACTCCAAGTTAGATTACTAGCCAGTGGTCTGTGTCTTACAGCAATGGTGGTAGTGGGGGTTTTACGGGTGGGCAGCACGCTCGTAGGATAGAAGGTGAAATCCATTGAAGCACATAAAGTAATTGAATCTCATTCGTACAATCCAGCATCCGCTGCTGTACAACAACGGAAACTTAGCGCGGAAATCAAAAGATAGACAGAAGTAAGTTCCGAAAAACAATGGCGCTTAAATAAGCCACCGATAGTAAGTTTGCATCCATTCAACTAGCCAAGGTGATTTCAGCCAAAAGAAACAACGAGCAATAGGTGATGTTTCTACTCCCACTGTTTTTAATGTGCGCGGTCAATGAATGCTAACGAACTCAAATCACCCAACCTCGGAAGACAGCACGAAACCAGAGTAACCCAAGTATTAATAAATACCGTTGTACGCTGTTAAAGATTCCTGGTTAAAAGTGTAGGAAGACGTTTAAAAGGTAAATTTACGGAAACATAAGCTGTGTAGGGGTAACTGGCAAGGTATATATGTAAATACATGCTGAGAAATCCAAATAAACGAAGACGGTAAGTAAATAGGAAACATGCATTGAAGAAGAGTATGTTTAAGGAATCATTTTTTCTCCTAGAATTGCAGATCATCAACAGCAGAAAACAGGAAAACTATACCACCACACCCAGACCGATGTATTTAAACTGAATTAGTGGGGATTATTAATTCTGAGAAGATTTTTTCAGTACTGTCAGGCCAGGAGACTACTGCCAACGGTACTAACTTGTCATTGCAGACACCAAATGCGGTTGCAAGTCAGAAAACACAGCATGGACGGCTACGTGTTCCAATGTGCACCATGCAGAAAGCGGAAAGTAAGTAGGGCCGGTTCAGTGTTTGCGAGGAGACGATAAGAAATCGGAGCAATCATGAATACTTGGTTGGCATTTTTGCAGGTAACAAGGGTCACGAAGCGCAAAGAAGACTTTGCTGTGTTTCGGCCTGAACACCATGGGACTAAAAGAAACATGGGCAATCTTCCTGTCGCCGGTATGTCCGAGGTAAAGGAATGTTAAAGTAAACGGTTTGTTGTCGGACTTTGAATGAATGTAAGTACATAAATTCGGTTCGAGCAAACTTCCTTGTCCTTTGTTCTGAGCTAAGTCCCGGTTAGATAAACTCTGAGTGCAGGGGTGTGTCTGCAATCGCCTCAATACATGGAGGAAGCCTAGATGGTATGCTTGCTTCTTGACCGTCTGAACTTAGCTCAGGTCAACTAAATGCGGAGCGCCAGGCAGTGTCCGCCTTCGATTCGATACCCATAGGGAACCAAAATGTTACGATCGCTTCCGGGCTCTCTGAGCTAAGGCATGTAATAGCCGAGAGCATGGTAGGGCCTTCACTGGCCTCATTTAATGGAGCGCCTTATAAACAAATTATTTTCTAACAGATCTTTAATTCCTGCTCTAACTTGCAGAAGTCTGTGAAAGGGTGAGACAGTTAGCGCCATTGGTTCCTGCCATGACCAGCAACGAGTCCGACCTAAGTCACGGTAAGGCAGAGTCCGTGCCGCACTGCAGTAGGCAATGAGGATTCACACAACAGCCAAAATGCACATGTGGCACGCACTGAAAGCTGTGTACATGATTCCCTTCTCTCTAACGGTAGCAAATCTAAATCGTTGAAAAAAAAGTCGAAGTGCACAGTTAACCTGCACGCATATCTACACACCTTCTTTTGGTTTGTTGATCCGGGCTCCTAGTCAACAGTACCTTTTATGCACATTTCTATCCTACGTTTCTTTACAACTTTGTGCTAGCAGTAGTAAATATTATGCTGCTGAATACCAGTTTATTAAGATCATCGGAACAAAATTGCAGTTTGGATTGCACTTGTCGATGCAGAACCATTTGGATTTGGATAATTAGGATTATTCAAATAATCTGCGTCCCGGGAAACGACAGCAGTCCACAAACGGATTGTGTGACACTACCACACGGGAGTTGCGCAGTCTACATTCTTCCTCATGAGACTGTAGCTCTGTACCTTATAGACGTGCACGAGCAAACAGTTGCTCATCTCCGGCCAAAGAATTTACTCACCGGGTGGTCAGCTGCGGAGTCAGCAACATTCCCTCCGATATGACACCAGTCAAAACCCGATAACCATAAGTCCCATCACTATGGGAGGCAAACTCTGTGGATATGACACCTGGAAATCGTGGAAGTTGCTCTGTACTTAGAAAGCGAAAAGATGGATGGATAGTTTTGTTTGAGTAACCGGAAGGGCACTTTCATAACTAATGATGGTTCGTTGAAACGATGGATAATTTTGCAGAGGTTTTACGTTCTAAGATTACCTTTTCCCGTAACAAAAGCGTTTAAAGAAAAGGGCTGCCGATATTTATCTTTATCAACCAGAGGGAGTTTTTCTTTTGTCTATCACTTGATTTCGTGTACTAGCGTGGCATTCCAGTCAGTCGCTACACTGTATCTCGCAAGCTACTCCCTCCCCCAAAGTCTTCGCGCCCAGGTATGACGAGCCGCGTAATGCTTCATTTGAGTCTCGTTAAAGAGCGGATCTTAGTAGTAGGAGAAAGTTTTTACGAATCATTGGATTTGTCAAGATAGGAGCCTGTGGCCCTGACAACGAACTATCGTTGTTTAATTGCTCACAAACACATCGCTCTACCTCTCCCGCCTGTTATGTTTTGGGGTGTTCGGCGCCTGTTCTCTTTCTTGTCGTCTGTCTATGTCCGATCGAAGTGCGTCCCTTTGTAGATCATTTTTCTCATGATTTCCAAATTTATTTCCAGGCATATTCAAAGTTTATTCTTCCTTGAATCTCCTTCTGAAACGTACGGAAAAGGTCTCTGATAATAACACATATGCGCTACTAGGGCTTAATTTTGATGCAAATCTATGGTTAGTTATTTGATCAGCGAAGACGGTACAACCTGCTCTTATGACACTTTTGTCGACGTTGAAGTACCTGGTACTCCACTCGGAAAGTTCCCTTGCCAGACCGTGCGGCACCTTCGTAACTTATCGGCAAATTCGGCCACCCTCAACGCACCACTGAAGCCACTCGTGAGAACGGACTGATGCGTCTACTAAACTCTGACAAGAGTTTGTTAACCACAACATTATTCATGAATTTGCAGGAAAGCGTCAATAGGAGCTATCAATTTACGAGTGCAATGCGACCGTGGGGTATATCGACTCGATTTCGACGTGTTCAGGTAGAGGTTATTGTTCGATTGCGAAATGTCGAGATCGGGAAGACGACACAAAATGTTCTAATGCAAGAAGCGGTTACTTAACTTACAATGCGAATACTTTGGTGTACCCTGTGGCGACTGGCTGCTGCTCCATCTAACAATTCAAGTGCGCATACCTGCGCACGTAACTGCTTGTGGTTCTTTAACTAATCATAGCTGTCTACCCCAAGTAGTATTTAGATTCTGATTAATTACACGTGGAGACGATGTCTTGTCGTAAACTTGTGACAATTCCGGGAAATCTACAAAATAGTGCAACTTTCATATTGTCTTCCCATCTCAACGGGAATTTTTACTGTGGGCTATGTATCCATGGCGTCGTTAATGACGTCACATGACGTAGTTCCTTCAGCCCATCGTCATAGCTGGCGTGCTGCCTCTGTTAGGAGTGGCGGTCCTCTCCTTCAAGACTGACTAAAGCCATTGCTTCATCAACAGTCGGACTGGATAACTGGGACTGAAGCACCTGAACAGGAGTTTTCATTCTGCTACTGCGACCACTTTCTCCCGTCGCTGCCTACAGACCCTTAGCAGGCGTTGCGGTTTTAAAGCTTGCCAGCACTCCCCAACTTTGGAATAGAGTGCGGCTTCGGCCGTGCCAGCCTCCAAATCTCTGTTGTGTTGGTTGAAATCCTGGTTATTGCTGTGTGGACCAGGGGGTGTGGTGGAACGCCAAGGTGAGGATCCGTCCGAGCCATCCACCTGCGGCCTCCCTCGTCTCCGGTCTTCTTGACTCTGTCTTGACACCGGGTCCAGGCGGGGGAGGAGGAGAGAGTGTAGGTAGATGCTACGCAAGTCTACCGGCACTATAAACCCCTGCGTAAGTCACCGTCCCTGCTCCCATTGCTGCTGCAACTGTGGGGCACACGGTGGACATCATCGAAACCGATGGTCGAACTGTCAGTCATCAAACCCGTTTAATTTTTATGCATAAGGTGGCTAGGTCTGCGTCCACCGGGAAGAATGCGTACATAGACGAGGGTAAGGGCGCACAGCCGATTATGTCGCCGATGTCAGCTTCCAACACCTTCGAGAGAACTCTCCAAGGATGATGAAATAGTCAGATGTGCTAGTCAAATCTGAGTATACATCCATCGGGATCAATAAATATGTTCTAACGCTCTTTTATACTTCTTTCAACTTAGAAGCCTGAACTCAGTACGTGCTCACCCCGCTCATCAACATTGTTTGTAGGTGATGACCACCGCTATGCCTACGAGAAAGCTTGGGTTTATGCGGCTCTTTTATTTCAGTTCTTTCAACCTCGGTCTTGTTCAAGCGCCTAAATATATTCGTCGGAATGTGGGATGCCTTGTGTTGTGAATTTCCCTGTTTGCTCACACGACTTTCGAATGGAAGCGAAGTAAACGAGTCAAGGAGGCCGTGGCTTTGTACATCATCGAAGATGTGCATAGAGAATATTGGTATAATAAAGCAGGGGTTCCTGCCCACATATAAATTCACTTTTACGCTTAAGAGGGTTCCCTAGCTACCTGTATTAATTTATATTGATGATGAACAACGGAGGTCAGTCAAACAACTGCATGAGTGCAGGTGAATAATAAATATCAGCATAGTAATACCCCTACAGGAGCAACAAAGCTGAGCTAAAGTAGAAACCTCCCATACTTTGTGCCGCTTTATAAATCGAGCTCGCTTCAACATCTGCCTCAAATAGAAAAATCGGCTGGCAAGTAGAGGTTAATGAGGTTGACTGCTCGTTTATGACTTCCACTGCGGAGAGACAAATTAAACGCGTTTTTTCCGACCTCCTGCTTCCGAATGTCGATGAAGCAAAGTAGATTTGGTGAGTGGTGGAAAGTCGTAGACGAGACCCAGATTGCGGGCTGGTGATGGGGGACTTCCTGCTCTATGTTCACTACTCTCTGAACCAAAATTTTTTCCTTCTACTCCCTTTCGCCGTCCTCCATGTTGGCTAGATACTATACGTCTTGTGCAGATAAAAAACTGCAGTAATACGACGGTAATTGCCACGACGAGGAACAACATTCTTATTTCAATTTTGTAGTGAATAGTTGGTGATCTCGATAAACCTCTGACGGCTTAGGATTACGCGTAATTATGGGCCCGCGTCTTCCAGTTCATTTGGACGGTGCGGTACTGGAGCACTAACAAGTGTCCGATGCGTCTGCCTTTGATTTTGTGCCATCCTTGTCGTAGTTCAAAAAGTCTGGTCATCGCACCAGTTGCATTTTTTTAGTCCATTACTTTTTCGAGAATCCTCATCGCGATACCTGTAACCTAGTGAAGTGTGGATTCCTAGTCTTCTGCAAGCGCCCTAACCTGTACACTTTTAGACATTCTGTTGTTGTAAACTGGGTTATCCCATTCCATACGTAGCAAACATCAGGGAAAGCGGAAAAAAGCACTACTCCATTTCATATTTGAGAACACACCAAAACCAAATTGGAATAAGGATGAGGTCTTCGCATTGGAAAGCTGTATAGACAATTTCCAAGCTATGGGCCAAATCGCCTAAAACTTTATCGGCCAAGTTGGTGCGAGGAGTTCAACAACAAAGCGGATAATAAGCCAACCTTACGGACCAGCGGAGATGTCCCGTTTCGGTCTCATCTCGGGTGTCACCTCCAGTGATCGTTTTTCGTTAGTTTATCTTGTACACCTAAGGAACATGACAATTCTTATCAGAGTCCCATACCACGAAACCTCGCTCTTAACCTACTACGTGTCTTTTCGCTCTTAATTTGCCTCGAGAATGCCGTTAATTCTGCGCAAGCAGAGTAAGTCCTGTTCGCGTGCTAAATTGAAGCGCATATCTTTGATAAGCTGGGTCTTGTAACAAATTACTACTAAGGGCTTTGTCATCAACTGGCTTGCAGAACCTGTAGTAACTTCCCACTACAAAGACAGAATCATATAATTTCTTCAAAATGAGACACAATCTCATCCAGAGTTCTTTTATAAAATGCTAGTAGACTTAAAGTCCATCTAATCCTACGTGCAGTACTCTCCCCTCACCATAAGCATTAATCACCAGAGTGCTCATGGTACCAATTTTAGCCGTTTAACCTAACTGTGTCCACACTCAACACCTTTGTCGAAAACGAACATCCCAACAGTTTCTCCACTCTTCAGCTCTTTGATCTATTCTTTGTGTCCTAGTCCTTTACGCTATCTTATATTGATTTTTTTGGTCGAAGGCCTTGTATTAATTATCATTATAAAATCCAAGCTTCTATTTTCAAGTTATTTTCCATCCTAAAATTGCTTTTATGAAGGTCATCACTTCCATGTCAAGGTTGGGAAAAGTTTTGTTTGGTTAGCTGTTATTTCTGATCGCAATTTCACCCTAAATATTTTTGTGCAGGTAGACAAAGACTGACCCCACAAGAGGAGGCCGTCCTTCAAGCATTCAATAACTTAAATGTATGTATTTATTCTGCCACTTTTGATCAGACTTTATTTCCCACAACATCGTACTTACTGCAACTAGCCTTCTCTATGCTTCATCTTTTTGACTGAGACTAGACGTGATTCGTCACTTTAGTTGCCTTATCGCGTTCAGTCATCCTTAACCATTTTTGCTTCATATTCCCCTTGGTTTTACAAGGATATCTATATCGGCTTGGACCAAACTTACTGTGAGGACTATGGAAGCGTTAGTTCGGTCTCAATAATGTCCAATTTATTCCTATAACGAAATTGACTATTTATACAATACGCAAATCAAGTTATATTAGCGTATTTTCGGGCTCGGGTTAGGTCGTGAATGCTCTGACAACATATTCACTCTACGCCTAAAACTGTAGAACCTTCTCTCTTATTAGCATCTTGTAATCGTTCTTGTATCTAAGTACACCATTCCATTGTTTAAAATTTACTCTATTTTCTTCCTCAGACAAGTCCGCCAAGGCTCAGTGGTCACCATCTTTGTTAAGATTCGCCATAATCGCAATAGAGGTTCACAGCATTTTTCATACTCTAAGGTAGTCTGCGAGAAACTCATCAACGGTGCCGCCCTACATTTCTCGGATTCTGTCTAAGCACACGCGTTTTTAATTGACAAAAAGCCTTCTGTTCGTACCTGCCGGACTTTCTTAACTCCTCCAGGGTGCACGCTCCTACTTGGGTTTATTTGGCCGACTCCTCCTATAGCCGTTACCCGTTTCTGTCAAGTTTTGGGGAATAATGAAAATCCAGACTCAAATTCGTCTGTGTCTAAACCAATCTTAGTCTAAAATGCATTTTATTTGACTGAATATTCACTCTTAAACCTCTTATTTAGGCAAGTATTACTGCTCAGTAAGGGACCCTACCACTTTTGAGGGATCTGATAATTTAGATGACAAATTCAACCATCCGGAGTTGTAACTGCCAGATCCGAATTTATTAATAGTGTCCCCAACCTTTACATTTGGCGAGGGCTGGACCTGCTCACATTTTTCAAAGCTCCATTCTTCTTCTTAGTGCCCACTTGTTTTTGGGTCAGTAGTTGTGTTTAACGGATTCGACTGTCACCTGCTTCCTCAATATGGTCGAGCAAGTCTTTTGTGCCTCGCTCACAACTATGGGTGGTTTAAAGCGCGTAATTATTGTGTGGCTTCGTCTTTTAAAGTGGTCAATTTGCCTCTGAGCGATAGCAGTGCTTTGACGAAATTTTATTGGCCTTACGGGCAACAAACCATCGCATCTTCTGTATCAAGTTCTCCCACCATTCTTTGCACATCAAAGGAGTAACGTAGTGCTCTGTATGATTTACCACTTCCGGTTCTTCTATCACATCGTCTAACATCGTTTCGCCCGAATCCAGTCTTTCACAGACCCCTACCTCCATAGAAAGAGGCAACCTCTGTGAGCCATGGCCATTACCTCCGTATAAAAGCTACTTTGTCCGAAAACCCCACTTCAGTTAACCTTCCGTATTAAAAGGACTTCGCAATGACATTTCCGGGCTCCGGACCTTTTTTTACACGCGACTAAAAGATATCCCACACTAGGAAAACACCCTTTGGGTCTGGCATCATGCCCCTGCATTTAGGTATGCCTTTGTGAGGCTCAACAAGGTTAGCCATTGGTGAGAGAAGAGCAGATGAGGCTGCGTAGTTCTTACTAAGGGCATGACCTAATTAGTTAATGGGGATAGTAGGCACCCTGCTGGGGTGATAGGTGGGTGGTGACTAATCAGCTGCCATGGCGCAGCACTTGACAAGTGACCCTTCACACCAGTCAATGGGGCATCCGAGGTTGGTCTTTGCCCCGGAAATTACGCGGACTGGACACTCATTCTTCTCATAAAGCGGCTGCCGACACATGTAAACCGCCTCAATCATGCGTTGACGTCGCTTTAATGAGGCTTTTCGTACCCTCCGCACCACTATAAAAGCGGTAGCTTCCGCCAGGTCAGGGGACACCTGTCAGGACAAATGCCCGCCGTCTACAATAAATTAAAACGTGTTTTGGCCTCCTCGCGGGCAGGATTTATGAGTTATTTGAAGATGTCTTCTCCGGCGGAAGCGTGGCTGCATCCGATAACTTAGCTTCGCTCCCAGCAATCTTGACCATCTTCTTCGATGTAGTCTCTATTTATCTTCATTGTGCTTTAACACATTTAAATTGTAGTTGGGCTAATTAAAAGAACCTTTTACAGATTCCCTTCCTGCTGTACTCGGACACCCCACCAAACTTTTCAGGCCTCTTTTAGCCAGCTGTCCATTTCGCTCGTCATTTTCCCCTATTTACTGTCCCTTAGCGATGCGAGGATCGTCCAGCAGTTATCAGCCGTTCATTTATGAACTTTCTTAAACCTCAACAGGTATTGAATAAAGTATTTTAACCCACTTTCCTTTCTTAATACTGCGGTCAAACATTTGATAAAAGCTCCTCAGGCACGATTCAGTAACGGAGGACTTTCTTTACTTCTTACCCAGCACCTAACAGTCGACTTTTTAAGGTTAGTTCAGTGAGTCGAATTGGCAATCGTTCGCAGCAGGAGTGCTCTAAGATCATAATTTAGCTTCCACGTGAGACTGGGCAAATGCCTGTTTTCACTGCACGCATACCCACCTCTAATCAGGACCTAGTCTTACTACTGGCACACAAATGTACCAGGAGAGCAGGGTCGGTTTTGCGCAAACGTACAACCTAACCCTCACCTAAGTCATCACTTCCCTGAAGTTATCGTCTCAGAAAGACGGACTCGGTCAATTCCTCGGTCTCTCACTGCGACTTGGCCCGTTTGCTGTCAAGTTACCATTTGAAAACTAATGAACGACAATTTTCTAGTTAGTTGCCAAGTTTCACTTTCTCCATTTCAAACTCTGATGTTAATCTTGCAGCTCATAGTGCTCAGTCTTCTCTTGGTTACTCTTCAGTTACGTCTGAAGTTCACTGCTAATTTTCGCTCTCCTTTGCAGGCAAGACTCCAGGGTCATATGGCTGAACGGAAAGGTAAGAATTGTACGATTGTTTTTCGTTTTCTTTTAATTTTAACAATTTATGAGACCTTACTACACTGGCGCAGGATATTTAAACACGCGGGTCCCTCTTCTACCCTATTTTTTTAATAGCACTTATTTTCGCAGATGTAGGGGAAGTGGTAAGGTTCCTCTACGTAGTGCCGACGTTGGTACCACGGTGGATGTTAGTGTGTCTAATAAACTTAATGCAAGATGACTTTAGGGCCATGCTAGAGGGGTTACGTGTTGAACCATGTTATTTTAGTATTACATATTTACTGCTTCTGATTTCGTATATCCGGCGTGTTTCGAAGGCTGCTGCACCGTGTTTTACATCCAGGTCGCTACACCGGCCAGTCCTCAGCAGGGGTACTCCGCATTCTTTATTTATTTCGGGACATCTGGATGAGATCTCAAATGTTCCCATGTCGCCCTGCCTTCGTCCACTCTGTCGATGAGTGCTTGCTACAAGGTCTCCGCTTTTAAACTATCACAGTGCACTAAAAGCCATGCCTTGGAAGTCTGCCAGCTCACAAGATAACCCAGTACTCTCAGAACGGAGAGTCAGACTGCAATGGCTCCTTAGTGTGGCCCCTATGGCATTCATACTCAGCTTGGATCCGAGCCCCCCTTGTTTCTCTATCTGATATTTTGTGCGCGGATCAGGCGCGTGTGACCCGCGCAGATGGACTGTTTAGCCCGCCTCTAATCTTTTTGCCTCCTTGACATCGGGTTCAGGTGACTAAGGGAGGAGAGAGTGCGCTAGATACATCTTGTCATCACGTTCCCTGGAACAGAAAGTTGGTTCGTCCACAGTTTAAGGGCTGCCCTACTTGCAGGTTACCGCTTGAATTGAGTTGATGTCTATGGCTTTTCTATTTAGAGTTTGCTGAATTATCCTAATCCTACTTTGGAGGGAGTGTAGCTACCTAGGTCAACGTTGACATTGACTTAAGAGAGTTTATTGATGCCTATCTCACATTCTGGGGATGATGGTTATGGATTTGCCTGAAATACTCGACCCAATACTCCATACTTTGCAGTTTTAGAGACTTTGCTGCCCCCGTGTTGCGTGGAGCGGGGGCACAGTTTTGGCTGTTATAAAAAGCCTCGATGTCGGCAAAAAGTTCTTTATCTCCCCGCGGTAAACATACCTCTGAACTTCCTTTTCTAACCGAGCCAACCAGTTGGCCTGCTTCTCTAACACCTGCCGCTTTTGGTACTTGTCTGCATCGGGAGAATTCGGTTCTTTTTGCAGCCGTGCTGCTGTCCCAGTATGTTGAGTACGGCTTCTGTGTCAGCGAGAGACGGCAGCATTTCTGTATCAATGGCATTGAGCCAACCCTGGTGTCGTCTACTTATTGGTCAAAGGACCCGCTTGACAGTGATGTTGGCGGCTCTCTGTGGTTACCCCACTTTTCTTGCTACCCGCATCCTCCAGAACTTGCATTTGTTCCGGTTTGGTGTTCATATTGCTGGCTAACTTTGTTCTGCGTTCAGTTGGGTCCAATATTGCGGTATTGGCTTTCCTTTGTGCTCCTATAGCCAGAACCCGTCTCCGCGGTGAGATTTGCAGCTTCGTCATCGAAGTGAGTAGGCAATAGTCTGTCCAACACTGCGCACATTGCCTCTATCGCCGGTCGATCTGGGTGATCTTGCCTCCGGATGAGCTCATTGCCCAGCCGTTGTCAGTGACATTAGCGTCCCCCTTTTGAGCATTGAGACACCAGAAGACAGTGCTTGTGATGATGAGGTTATGTTCCGCGCAAATGTTTTGGAAAAGTCTACTGCCGTTACAGCGCCCACTACGTGATACCATGGCACTTTCCGGTAGCCTGGTCAGAGCCGAAGCATTCATCGAAATTCTCGAGACCAGTAGATTTGTTCGCCTTCGGCATAAAGGACGGGGAAGAATTTATTTGCGTCCTCACGATGTGTCGCCCTCGGAGAGTAAATGCTGACTGCGACGCCAATTTTTTTTCGTATGGAAGGCGAACCTCGTTGCTACGACTATGCGATGCAGCAATCAATTTCTTAACGGTGTTTCTTAACTGTCTTAGGACGTAGGCAGAATGTTATTACCGACGCAGACAAGGGAGACTGGAATGTCCATTTCTGGCTTATTAGCCGTCGTCAGCCGGTCATACCGAACCCCGAGGTGTGGACCACCTGGGGCTCGAACTCGTGACCTGTTAGTTAGAAGTCCAACGCCTGTAACCACTGGGAACGAGTGAGTTCCGTAAGAACGATCGGTGAGCGCCTTAGGACGGTCGTTCCAGAAAAAAAAACGATGTCCTGCCCCAACATCATTTAGCTGTCCTTCATAGCAGCAAATCTCCCGAAAGACGGTGATATCAGTCCTGTACCGGGACTCATTCGCAACGGCCGGCGTTGTCGTCAATTGTCGACGCTTGACCCCTGCGTTATATAAAAGCGAACGGACACATCAGACTGACAGAGTGAGCGATGATGGTTATTGGTTTTTTTTTAGTTTGTCGTCCACCCGCGGTCAGTTGTGCAAAGAGATGAACGCCAGCAATCACAGGACACCTTCCCTAACCGCACTCCGTGGACTTGTAAGCAGGGTCGCCCTCAGTAGGACTGCTTGGACACACAAATTGCTGTTTACTTGGCGTATGGCTCACTTTCTGTCTAATTAGATCTGGAGCCATGTGGTAATGAAAGGGTGGTCGCCTGTATTCGGGATGGTAGGCATCGTACAAAACATAAGCGATACTTGGGTCGCGATCGGTGAGCACCCCTCTACCATTGTGCATACCCGATCGCAACCCACAGGACGACGAGCCTGTGGCTCAGTGGCCAGGACCTTGAACTTCTAACCAACAGGTCGCGGGATCGAGCCCCAGGTGTTACACACTTCGGGATTGGGTATCGTTAGTTGAAAACGACTAATAAACCAGAAATGATCATTCCAGTCTTCCTTGTCCTTGTCGGTAATGCTATTCTGCCGATACATGGATCCTCGACAAGACCCGACCCTATTCATCGACAGTGAAGCGTATGTAAGCTCGACCTGTGTTAGGCGAAATTGATTAATTTTGGTATGCCAAACTTTAGTATCTAGTAGTGCATGTCTGTTCTAAAGGAGTACCTTTTCTGAGCCAGCCCTCCCCGACCTGCCACTTTTCGTTAACCCATGCATTACCTCTGTAATGTTCCTAACCTGACATCTTTGTGCATCGTTGCCAAAACTCGCAGGCATTTGAAAATACCTTTACGCCGAAATTAGTACTGTATTCTTCCTTCCTGAGCACACCCTCTTAATACAAGTCAAAGTTACCTGACAGGTCATCACCCCATCTGCTGAACTACACTGGCGTTTTTATTTAAACTTGAAAGAAAATTTCGTGTTTTCCCGAATGACCAAATCTAGATGTCGGCACCGGTATGTCACCTCGTGTACCTCAGTACTGCCCTCCTACCCCCACCAGTTCAAATCATGCAGTGAAGTCTGCTCCCTGTGCATTGTCCAAGACCGGGAATCTTGCTTTGTCTGACGCCAGGTGGGCTTTTGTTGGCCACTCGCCTTCGTTCGTTTTCGTAATGTTGCTCTCGTCTGCTGGCCACTGTGCACACCCTCAGTTGCTTTTGTTAATTTTATATCCCTTTGCCCGCCCCCCCCCCTCCCTGCCCTGTTAAATAACTTGAACGCTCCCTGTGAGGCATATCACAGGAATGCAAATACACTGTTTTAACCGTTTCAGGCAATCGAAAACCTCTCACCGAAGTAAGCATGCTCTCCGCGATCATCAGCGTCATCGCTCAAAGGAGAATAGGCCACAACCGCCTCCTGTTCGAGTATTTGACCCCGCAAACGTTTATGCCAAAACGACGCCCACACTGAGAAAGGCGTCTGCTGTTCGCCGTGCCGACCCTGCATCCGATCGTCCCGTTCTACGCACTCGACTCCTACCTAACCGGACAAGGCACTTAGATCGAGGACCTCTTGCTGCTAACAGACGCAAGGTTACCTGTTTATGGCACTTCCTGCTTTTGACTTCACTCCAAGACATGTTTTTTCCACATTCTTTCAGTCTTTAGCCTCGTTTGTGCATGGAAATTCCATGTCAACGGTACCAGTAGCTATTTAGCATGTTTTTAAAATGGCACAAGACTCTTTGGCCTCTGAGCTTTGCTTACGCCGTCATGCACTTGTATCATCACCCTGTGTGGGGTTGTCCTCTCCGAAGTTTACCTTCCCTCACTTTCGTTTGCTTCAGTCATTCGAAGCCCGTTTTGGCTCGTTAATTGCGCGAAACAATTATGCGCATGCAGCGCAGATGGTCGACAGACATGTCTCCTCCGTGTCACAATGTTTGTGTTTCTTGTCTTCTAATATGGCAGTCAGGTTCAGGTGGACAGGGTGAGGATGTAATAAGCCTGAAGCGGCCTGTTTCGATGTGCCTGCATCTCTGGTGACAACACCTGCTGTCATACCTTGACCGGGTTCAGCCTAGGAGGTAATGACCCACTCATGACCTGCCATGCTTCCGGAGCTTTTTCCTTGGAAGAACTGGATTACGCTTATTCCTGTAAGGCCATATTTCTGTCCCAACTTTTGAAGCAGCGATATCAGCTACCCATCTTCAGGGAAGTGGGAATCCTGTACGCAGCTCCCAGTCCGTGCCATGTAGACTGCATGCGCATTTTGCTTGTGGTGTAGGTTGCCAATACCGACTGTGGTTAGAATCGAACCATGCTCCACTGAGGTCTATTTCGTCCCCGTCCCTGGTCGTGGCGGGGATTTGTGGCTCTCACGGTCTCAAGCCTTAACTGCCGCTGGTCAGATAGGGGGCAGGCGAGTTTATGTGGCGACTTTTTGCACTTGTCCTGATTATTACCTCGGTCCACAGTCTCAACGGCATCAAGGTCTAATACTTGTCCCGTCTCCATATTGTAGATTTCCTTCATTGAATTCTTGTCTAGCCTCCGAACGACCAGCCGATTTTTATTCATTCTCTTTTGCAGCCGTCGACGGGTTTCTCTGAGGTGGTTGCCCTCTGAAACTGCACTAAAGTCGGTAGACAACAGTTGGCTTCTAGTGAAGAACGAGGCATCTTCGCTGCATCTCTTGCGGTGGTATTTATTAAGGTCTCCGGGTGACTCCTCGGAGTGTCCTGGCGGAACACGCCACGATCCCGAAGAGCTTTTACTCACATCATGCCCCGTCATGATCCGGTTTAGTTGGCCCTTTTGAGCTCTTGGCGGCGCTTGATCTCGTCTCGTTTGACGACTGTCATACTGCAGAGAGCTTCCAGTCACCAGAATGATGTGTATGCAGCTTTGTTTGTATTGTAGTGCGCGGTTGTTGTAGGTTAATATTTACAGCTGTTTGCAGGTCCCCTGTATACTATAGTCGCCACCTGATTATCAGGTTGCCGGCAGACGAGTACATTTGGAAACGGGTCTGTCCTCCGTTTCCTCAACCGGAGACAGCAGATCCAGGAGGGTTGAGTTCATTTTTCACGGCAGTCAATTTTGCCTTGATTGATAATGACAAAAGTGTCGCCAGCCTATCACGCGCAAGATTCTAATTTTCCCCCAAACAGCCGTCATTCGGATTTTAAGGGACCACACCAATAATGGACCTGAAGGTTAGTACCTCCATTAGGGTGCCCTTGACCTACTCATTTGTTTCATTGATGGGTTGCCGAGATTGCTGTAAGAAACTCAAAAACACAACTCATCCCCTCCCGGTGTGTGCACCTCCCCTTTCGAATCTAGTGCAGTTTGAGAACGCACTTTGAGCGTTTTTCTCGGGCCTATATTTTCTCGTCAATTCACACACGTTGTCTTTTAAGCGTTCGTCATCGTAGAGCTCGGACGCCCTGTCCGTACGCATGTGTTTTATGTCGTACCCACTATTAAGTGGGCGGCGGAAGCTAGCACAGTTTGCTCGTTTTATCCTGGTGACACTTCAGCCTCTGTTGTGTGATAGGATGCGATGTTTTGTGGCCTTACCTGCCATCTCCATGCTATGTATAACTCGACGAGGCGGCTCAAACCCGTTCCTTCGAGTCATTTTGTTCATGCGGATCGTACCAAGAGGCCGCTGCCTCTCTGTCAACCCACACCCTGATGACACCCTACTTTAGCCTACGTTGAATGCAGGTTTTGTACAGTTTGGGAAGGATAAGGGGGGTTAGGCATCCCGAGCTAAAACTGCTGGTGACGCCTGCTCGGTTGCCCCTGTTAGACGGTACTTGTGAATATATTAGGAACACATGTTTCGCCCCTGATGTAGGTACGGCCGTAACGTGTGGTCCGGGTTGTGGAATCGAAACACTGTACTCGGTACACATAAGCTCTATCGACCTCGCGATATGTTGTGTTTCGTTTGTGCTGTTGTTGAATGGTGCCAGCACGCCTTTTTGTCATTTCTCTTGCTCCCTCACCAGGTCAAAGTCTTATCCGCATTCTTGCGCGGGCAATTCATTGCTTTGTGTACTGTCTGTTCTTGTTATAACTGTAAGACTACTAACTACGCTTCTGCGACCTTTTCTGTATTTAACTTTTTTGGATTTTTTTATCCCTTCGAGTAGAGCAGCCGTTATTAACCGGATTTTGTTCCAGCCCAATTTTATAACTTTTGCGCCTGTCAGACTACTTTCAAAGTCTGCCCTTGTTAATTTTTCGTAGGTGTTCGAAGTCCCTGTCGCTGCTGTCAGCAATGAACCGACGCACATCTTCAAGGTCTCCTCCGTTCTGAAACTTCTCCCTGCTTGGGAGCCCTGCTCGAACTCGGAATAGAACTATAACTATGACCGAGCCAGTGTTATGATATAAGAAGGCTTAGAACTTTACCTTCGATTTGTCGTTCCCTGTCTTTGCCTTCGCGCTGTGCTGATGCGCCAACACTGCCTAACCATTACAGTTCTATTTCGCCCATTCTTGCTGTTTATCTTGGGCAGTGGCAGACGTAGTATTCTGTGTAATTATTGCCTCGACTGGATTCTCGTTTGCCGAGACTGCTGTGTCGTGATACTCACTTCGTACGTCCGGACGCCATAATTTCCCACGCCCAGTTGTACGACTCCCTCCAGGTTTCGTTTTACTGGGCTTCCCTTTCTTGGTGGTGTAATTGAATAATCTACCTCACTAGTCGTCGGGGACAAATGCTAGTTCTTGTCAAGCCGGGGAACATTCAGGCGTATGACTTCTGTTTTGCCTGAGGACTACTACATATCCCCCCTATGCGGTGTTCGCGGGCACGGCCGAAACAACATTTCACTTGCCCTCAAAGATCGTTTAGTACACACCAGGAGGATTTGTGTGGGAGCCTGCTAGTTCTCCACAACAATCTAATAGGTATGCAAACGTCTGGCCGTTAAGTGGTTGGCAGGCCTGTCTAAATGTCTACACATGAGTAGCGCCGAGGCTTCCTTTTCCCGTTCAGTCTCTAGACAGCGGTTTGACTCGTTGGTATGGATGGAGGAATTGCATAGGCTACCGTTTTTCTACAAGCTGTCCAGCTGACGAACGGTGAACTTCAGACAAGTTAGCGTCGAGCATCTGTCACAGACTAGGCCATTCGTTTAGATTGCAGGCTGACCAGCTGCGCATTCCGCATCCCTTGATGGAGCGTTTAATAGTCGCACTGAGGTGCGCGTTACTTATCGCACTTGAAATCGTAGGTCTCCAGGCCCGAACTCCAGCCTCTCGCTCCTCCGGTTCTCTGTCCCGAGTCAGGATCCCACCCTCACTCCCGCGCTCCTAAGCAGTCAATCCCAGCCTTAGAAATGCAGCCATACAGAGTGGCTTGGCCCAGGCCCGACTTACTGTTGACACGAGTTCTGGTTGGAGTGGACGCTTCAGGTTGTTGAACTTGTCGAATTAAGAAATAAAAACCACTTCGGATTCGTGTTGAACTTGACCACTGCCTCCAAACTCGGTCCGGATTCCGCGTTCCGAGGCGTAAGGCCTTATTATCCGATTTTGCGGCCCAGCCCCCTCCCCTACTCTTGCATATTACCCACTGACTTATGGATGGCCGTGGCAGCCTTGATCTGTAAGTAAAATCGGAGGAATTCACAATATGTGAAGTGTAGCAACATTTATGTATGCCATTATAAGGAAGATGTTGAGCAGGAAATGGTACGTGGAAATCAAACATCTTGACGTAAAAATGCACGTGATTTACAAATAGGCCGCAGAGACAGTATATAATGACTGTTGAGAACGGTGGGCGGGGGTCGTCGGGGCCGTTTGCAGGTTGGCTGAGATCAAGGCCTGGTGCGTTGTTTCGGTCACGTAAGGAGCACACCTGGCATTACGTAACATGCAACGGTGAATCATCGGCGGGACGACTATAAGTCGACAGGCAGTCCTGACTATGTGACCTTGAAACTTTTCGAATGCGTTCCTTAACGCATCCGTCAACTGAGGTATGCTGGGCCTGTGGTCAGCATTCGAAACTTTAAAGACATTGGTATGAGGATTCACAAATGTACGGTAAGTTGGAGGCTTGATGGGGACTACGTAAACGGTTTGACCAAAAAGCTAAATGAAAGGTTAACTTGTTCGCAGAGGGAGCGAAGAATGGCTGCTTCTCGAAAGTGGTCGTCTTGATCCCGGGAAAAGTGGACAGACAATTTGTAGGGTGCGAGTTTCGTTGTGCGAATCACTTGTTTCCTGTAGGTTTTATAAATCCATGGAAGTCACACTGTCGAAAATTGGTCCGAACGGCGCGGCGACGTCACTGGTAGGCAGCCATTACAAGAAGTAGTTGTCTATGATTCAACAATTACAAGTGACTGTGCAGGAACTGGCGGAGCAGCCTCTGCGACTAGGGGAACTTTTCTCTGAAACGGCGGCCAGTTATCCCCTTAGTGCCTTTCGCTGTTAGTAACACCATTTCGCTGACACAGTCGTACCACCACATAGACTTGCGGACGAAGGAAACGTGCCCCTTGGCAGACGGATATTCAGTTGACATCCTGCCCTGTCCTTGTGCTTGCTAACACTGAAGCCAACACCCCACCCTTTATTCTGGGTGCCGGCGCTATAGGCTTTGTGATTGGGGGCGTACTCGCCAGACCCCTAAAACGGTCTATGCGGCAAACCCGCTGGGACAACACGAAGGCCAGATCGAATTTATCAGGCCTTATCGGGAATGCACGTCCATAACAAATTCCAACATTCTGGATGCGGTGGTGAGCCCAGTTGCCGACTCACGTAGCACCAATTGGGGTCCCTGCCGCTCGCTTGTCTTATTTTTTTGGTTAAAATCCTGATCAGTTGTTTGTGGTAGATCAGGAGATGTGGTCGTGCACCTACTTGCGGCTTTACACCGTGCCAGGCACCTGCATCCTCTCCCGGTCTTTTTGACTATGTCTTGACACCGGGTCCAGATGGGGAAGGAGGAGAGGGAGCGGTAGATGCAACGCAAGTCAGCTATCACTTTGAACTGACTCACTCGCAAGCCACTGCCCCTACTCTCACCCTCCCGTTGAGCACATGTTGTACATCGCCGGCAACGGCGATCTGGCTGCCGCACTCTCCAGGCGGGTAAAACCAGTTGTGAAAAACCAGCGTGATCGCGAGCAAGACTTTGTACAGACCTCAAAGTAATTATTGTACGACTGCCAGGAACAATTAACACACCACTTGAAAAGCGGTGAGATCCTATTTTCTAACTTGACGTCATCTAGGTGATCCTGTGCCGTTGTCACGTGGGGTCTTGCCCCATCTAACCGGCCCGTGTCTTTAACTTAGCCATATCTGTCTGTTACCGCTGTGCACACTCGAAAGCACGGGGGTATGAGGGGATACCTGGGAATGGATCGAAAACTTCCCTGTGGGTCAGCCGAGAGAAATCAACTTCTGCTGTAGTTGAAAGGGGATTTTCCCAGGATTCGGTACTGGGAGGCATTTTGTTCATACCATGTTTGCTGATGATATGAAATTTTGAGGTGCATAGTGGGGTTCGGTGTTTTCCGAGAACATGTCTGAGGACTGAGAGCGATTCCGTAAGTTATTGCATATTCGCCTTAAAAACTACAACCCCATTTCATGGAACGAAATAGAGATAAATCCCTGTGGCTGACTCAGGAACTGAA